GTGTGTGTGTTTTGGTGTATCTAAAACGCGTGATGTGGATGACCAACGTGCTGTTTTTGCTTTCTATTCTACTACCCTTGCCTCAAAATCCAGATGGAAAACGGAATGAGATTTTGGGTTGTAAGATTTTGCACAAATGAAAACAATTTTTTCTTTAATCTAGATTTTGGGTGGCGTTATGAGCTTCTGGGTATTTGGGTTTTCAGATTTTGGGGTTTGTAGTCATAATTCACAAAACAATTAAATGCAGAAATGAAGGAAGAAGAAAAGGCGCGAATGCCAAAGGAGGGAAATTGTAGCGTACACACTTACATAGTAAGCTTGTTTTTTCTCTACAGCCGTTGAGATTAGATTGGATGGCTGAAATTGATCCTCACATAGTGTCCTCATTTAGGAGTCCTCGTTAGAGCCCAGCCAGTCTATAAAAGTCCTCAACTACTTGCATCTCAAATCAGAGCTAGCCTGGAGGGCCTCTTCAAGCTGCAATTCGGAGACGAAATTGCGGACGAGCACTTTGACTTGTTTCGTAAAAAACTTGAAGAGCAGCACTCCATGGTTGAGCGAAGGCAGTTGTTTTTCTTGTTGTTCTTAGACGCAGAGCAAATTGATCTGAACATCCACCTTTTAAGTTCAGTTCAATTTGGTCATGTAGAGATGGCCAACAAAGTATTCCAACAATCAGCTGGCTATAAGTCTGCATTCAAATGTTATTGGCTATTATATAGACATCAGTAAGGCATAAACTACATAACTTTGATGTGTTTGTCTTTGTTTATTGGCAGTAATTGAGATTGCTTCTGAAACTGATAACTTATTTGCAGTTTGTCTATGTTCGTGTGAAACTAATTGCATTATTATTACTCATAGTATATTTCTAATTGCATTATTATTACCAATATTACGTATTTTTACATATTTGCACAGAAGAGATCAGTGGAGGTAAGCAGAATCTGACAATCTAGGTTTAGGAAGGCCAACGAGAGTCTTTCCTTTTTGAATTGTAAGCCCCATTCTCTCTTCTACATTGTCCAAAATGTCATCAGGGAATTCCCATTCAAAAGCATGAATCAGGGCTGCTAAGTAAAAGTGCACCATGTGATGGCCAAGGGGCAATCCGATGCGAGACCTATTCCCACTCCCAAATGGAATGAGGTTAAAATCATGGCCTTTCACATCTATGTTTGACCCAAGAAACCTTTCGGGTTTAAACTCATAAGGGTCTTCCCAAACACTGGGATCCCTAGCCATCCCCCAAACATTCACCAACACAATGCAGCCCTTACGAATATGGTAACCGGAAACCTCACATGCCTCATTCGTGCTACGAGGAACGAGCAGTGGGATGGCAGGGTGGAGCCAGAAAACTTCTTTCACTGCTGCTGGAAGGTAGGGTAGATTGGAGATGTCACTTTCTTCAACAAACTGATCCTTCCCAACCACTTGGTCCAACTCCATAACTATTTTCTTGTATGCATCAGGTTTTCTTAGGATCTCTGCCATACCCCACTCAAAAGTGCTTGACGTAGTCTCTGTGCCTGCGACAAACATTTCCTGCAAAAACCCAAAATTAAAACATTGTTCTTAGTTTTAATTGGACTCAATTATAGTTTGTTTCTTGAACTGATCTACATGTTAAATTGGGTGTATGTTTTGAGAATTTTACTGTATGGGGGATTCGAACTTGGAATCTCTTCCAACATTGAGAGTATATTTAACGGAAGTGTGGAAGTACAAAGTTTAGATATTAATATCTAGATAACTTACCGCGAGCATGCCTTTGATATTCTTTCTGGATAAGCTTTTTAATTCATCATCTCTGTCATTTCTATAATCCAATAACACATCTAACAAGTCCAAATTTGCCGATTCTGATTTTCCTTTCTTCCAACCTCTCCTTCATGATATTTTCATAAAACGCATACAATCTCCAAAAGATCTTCAATATTCTCTGTTTCAGGCATTGAGGATCAAATGGCTTGAATACTGGGATTAGATCAGTAATATTCTCTGTTACTCACAATGTTGCCTGAGGCCATGAAGGCCAACTCTGCAATGTTCACTGAATTTTTCGTCATCGAAGCTAAGTAGAGCTGCTTGAGCAACCCATGAACCTACAAGCAAGTGAAACAAACAATTAAGACTGCTCATTTTTCTCTTTACATATGTTGTATATTGATCAACAATTTCTTTAACAGACGAAGACATGTTTTTACCTGAAAAAATTAACAAAACCTGTTGCTTGTGAACTGTTTCAAAAGCCTCAAAGGCCTGGCAGAGAAGATCTGTTCCATCAAGATTCTTCTAATTACTCTCCAACGTGCACTAGCCATGGGAGCATATATACAACAGAGGCCGTATCATATGTAATGATCCAGATGGCCTCCGTGATGGTATGACTGGAGAAAACATCCTCCTGTTGCTTAAGGGTCTTCCATGCCATCTTCGGCGACAATATCACGACACCAGGCTTTAAACCTAGTTTCAGGCTAAGGAGTGGGCCATGGATTCTGGAGAGATGAAACAAGTCCTCATGAAGGCGATTGTTGAGGAGGCGAGGAAGGCGACCAAGTATGGGCCATCCAACAGGTCCTGGTGGAGAATTCTTCCAGTTCTTAGGTCATGTAAATGGATGAAAAAAATATGCACCGATTGATGTAGCCAATGCAATGATAATGTAGAGAGGGAAGGAAAACAAATAGGTTGAAACAGCTGATGATATGGAAGTACACTGCAGGAAATCCATGGTTTGCATGCTCTGTGTCTCTAGGAGTGTGCGTGTGTGTATAAAGGAAGAGGGGGTATTCTCACACACACCGTGCCATGGAGAATCGAAACACATACCACTAACCTGCATGTCCACAGCTCTGAGACCCCTTTGTCATTTACTGTACTTTTCTTGGCTTATTCTCTTACCTTATCTTTTCCTTGTTTGTATAATACTATAATTGCACATGTTGTCACTGTGTTATCTTATCTTTTCCTTTTTAAGGTCTGATTAATTACCTTATCTTTTCCTTATTTATATAGTTTATCTGTTGAAAGTTCTTTTCCCTTGTTTGGATCACTTGTCTGCTGTATGATTACAATAGCACTTAGTTGTGGATAAAGTGGTTCACCATTACAGGGTATGACTAGACAAGCATAATCAGCACAAACTTACTGTCATAATGGAATTCCAGTTGAAGAAATGTGAACCATATCCTACTCAAGCATTACTAGTAAAGAAGCAGAATGCGTTTTTTGGATAAATTTTGTAACATTAAAATTACTCGTGACAACCTGAGAAAGGGGCAAGAGGGCTTATCATCAAGGAATTGGAGCAGGAATTTTTGGCTTATAATTTTGAATATGGAAAAGAAAGAGAACAACTATCTATTTTGCTGAATAGTATAATAAGCTCAAGCAGCAAGATAAGCAACCCTTAGATAGTATTGGATGACTGCCACACAGTTAGACCAAAAATGCAAAAACTCTTAATATTTTCTTCAAGCATTAGCAAGAGAAAGATTCCACTACTTAGCAGAAGATTCAAAAAGCTATATGATCAAATTAGAATATTAGAAAAACATGCCAGTACAATATGCATGAAGAAACTAACCTTACCCTTGAGCACATATACATGCACTAGGATTGTTGTGGACTGATCAACACTTACCCTTAACGTGCATCTGCTTAATTAAATTTTAGAAATATTAAACTTTTTTATGGTTAATAAAATGCACATGTACAAACTCAAATCCAAATTCATAATTCTAACTTCTTTCATCTAAGCACAACATATACATATATATATATATATAATTTATAGAATGAAGATAATTACAAGGCATATCAACAATATTAACTCTACTGTAAATAATCACACCTGGAAATCTGCTTGGTTGGTCCTTTGAACGTTGTGGTTGCTTGGTAATTGCTTCTCTTCTCTGCTGCACCTCAAGTCAAGAAGAGTGTATGAAGCTGAGTCTAGTTTTCAACGGAAATGGAATATTTCTTTTGTGTGGGTATAAGTGCCATTTTATCATTTAACCATGGTCAACTGACGTGCATCAAGTAACTATCCTTTCTATTGTAGCTTTATCTCGATCTAATCACCCACAATTAAGATAAACCACTATCATTAGAGACAAAATGAGATGAGATAAAAAATTAAAAAAAAGTAGTATGAGCAGTCACTCTCAATGCTTTACATAATCCTATGAGGATATGAGGAAGCAACTTCCCTACTAAACCATCAGAAATAATAAGCAACAGAAATAAGAGTTCATTTCAGCTTACCCCATAACAAATGTTGTTTATACTTGTATCCTTACAAATGTTCATCGTAAAATATTTTCAACAGATAGATAAAACAGTACTTCAATTGAAGAAAACTATTTGAATATGGCTGCTCGAAAAGCCTTTGTGATTCTCCTTTTCCTCTTCCTGCATCATTTAAAAAAAATTATTGAAGTAGAAAAATTAAATAGAAGAATATATAACAATAAGAGGAACACGGTGTATCCTGAACCCTGATTTGCTAAGACAAATAAAACGGTGTCTTTCCAACTTGCAGGCACAGAAAATTGGCACATCAGAGTTGGGGAAAGGGTGTCTGCCCGATCGGCTATCATCAGCATTTATTACCTGCTGTTGTCGTTGTGCATGTAGGAACACGTTGAGGAAAAAGAAATCATTTCTGCATGACCAACAAATTTTGTTGCTTCAATTTTCTAGAGTACTCCTTCATCCATTACATCAAACAAATTTCATTCAATGTAGAACGATTACGACAAGGTAGTGGTTTAAGCTTCCAAATCTGCAACGCTGGCAATCACTACCTGGCTCTGTCCATAATCTGAAACTCTTATGAACTAGAAGGATTACTCATTAAGTATTTGAGCAGCCCATTGTCCCAATCTCAAGCAGCCATGTCTTCTACAAGCATCAAGGACTCTTGTCAACATTGGGACTGTAGGATCAAACGGCATATTCTTTACAAAATTTTCAAGCTCATCCATGTACCCCCATTGGCTGTAGAGTTCAATCATGCACTCATAGTGCTCTAACCTAGGTATAATACCGTACTCATTGGTCATCGAATCAAAGTATTGCCTGCCCAACTCAACAAAACCTTCATATGTACAAGCATGTAAAACACCTCGAAATGTTACATGGTCTGGCTTAATACCTTCATCCTCCATCAAACCAAAACATTTAAGTACTTCTCTCCCCTTATAGTTGTGACAGCATCCCAAAATCATGGAGTTCCACAGAATTACATCTCTTAAAGCCCTCTCTTTGAAAACCATGATAGCATACTCAATAGAACGACACTTGGAATACATGTCAACTAATGCCCCTCTGACCACACTATCCATTGTGTAACCATTTCTGATCATGAAACCGTGAATTTGTTTTCCTTGCTCAAGTGCAAAAATATTGGCACAAGCTGCCAGGAGAATTGCAAACGTATACTCATCGGGTGTTTCCTCCAATTGCATCTCACAAAATATTGTCATAGCTAGTTCACTCCGGCCATGACGAGCATAGCTACTCAACAAAGCATTCCAAGAAATTCTATCCCGGCATTGACTAATTTGGTGAAACCAGACTGTTTTGGCACTTTTCATGTTCCCACATTTACCATACATGTCAAGAAGGCCATTTCCAACAAAGATATTGGAACAGAAACCATATCGGTAAATGAATCCATGAACCTGTTTTCCCATTTCAACATCCGAAAGGCCAGCACACACCTTGAGGATTAACCCAAGAGTGACTTGGTCTATATTTTTTGTTGTTTTCACCATCAGGAATATAAAATTCAAAGCCTCTTCCCACTGGAAGAAATGAGTGTACCCTGCCAACATTGCATTCCAAGTTACCACATTGCGTTCAGGCATTTCATTGAAGAACTCTCTTGCCTTCCATGTCTGTCCACTCATTGCATATCCTGAAACAATTGAAGTGCCAGAAATCAAATTTTTTGACTTGGGCTGGTCAAAAATTGCACAAGCATTCTCTAGTTCCCCACACTTGGCGTACATATCGATAAGGGAGCTCAAAACAACCTCATCATTTTCGAAACCCATTTTAATTGCAGCTCCATGAATCTGCATTCCCTCTTCAAGTGCAGTAATACTCGAACAAGCAACAAGAGCACTAGAAAAGGTGAAATTCAATGGCCTTACAGCTGCCACAAACATCTGGAAAAACATCATTATTGCCTCCTTTCCTTCACCCATCTCGAGATTCCGCCTCACAATTATATTCCAAGATATGTCATTTGGATTCTGGATCTCATCAAATATTCCACGGGCATCCCTCATAACCCCACATTTCCCATATATGTCAACAAGAGAACTCCCTAAAATCACATTCCCATCGAAACCATACTTGAAAATAACCGCATGAATTTGCCTCGAAAGCCAAAGCGCCAAAACTGCAGCACATGACCCAAGAACACTAGCAAATGTAATCTCATTCGGCAAAAAACCCAACCTGTTCATCTTTACAAACAAGCCAAGGGCATCCTCAGGATTCCCAGTTTGCGAGTACGCCGTTATCAATGCATTCCAAGACCCACCATCTCTTTGAGGCATTTCCTCGAACAGCTCCCTCGCATCTCCCAAAGACCCACATTTCGCATAAGCCTCAATGGCACGATTCAGTAGAAAAATGGGCGGGGTGGGCGAGAAGGTGACCAAATGTGACTCAACCTTTCGGGCCTCAAGAATGGCTCGATTGGAGGAACAGAGCTGGAAGAGACGGGCGTAGAGAGAAAATTGGAAGGGAAATGGAGATGCAGAGAGGATTGAAACGGCTTTCGGGAGACGACCAGAGTCGAGATGAGTGAGGATTGTGCTGGTGATGGCTTTGACGGTGGTGGGATTTGAGGGTTTGGTTAGATGGCCTTTGTCACAAAGAAGACGGTTTAGCACAGAGCCTGCAGTCACACCCATGCATGTGTTGTTGTAATGTCGTGCGAATTAGAACACACACTGCAGAGTGCAAGAGGAATCTTCTTTGCTGTTAACATTCATTCCTAATCTACAGAGTGCAAGAGGATATAGGCTACAAGAGAACCATTCATTCACAATCTGCAGACAACCAAAGTGCAAAAATTGTTGTGAGGTTCATATCGCCAAGCTCATGCATTTAACATTCATTCACAGTCTGCAGGCAACAAAAGTGCAAAAATTGGACATGAAAATTTTGCATTGGATGCCACTTTCGTTGCTGATTTTTTTTCTTTTCTTTTCTTCGTATTTTTCCTATTAATTAAGCAAACTATTGAGCCAGCATGCATTGTTATAAATATATAGGAACAAGAAAAGACCACCAAACCATTTTGAGGCATAAGAATTTAATATTAACATTCCCACCCTATCCTTTCTATCTTTTTTTTTTTTTTCCTGATTTCCAACATGATTGAAATGATACTGAAAAGAAAGCAATTCCTATCCAACTAGGGCAGAGTAGAATATAAAGTCAGTAAGCGAGTTCAATTTGATAAATTCCTTGACAGAGCAAAATGTATCTGGCATTAGTTTGACTGATAGTTCAAAAATAAGGTTTTAACTGAAGAATAAGAAACTCATGACAAAGTATAAAGAAGGCAACAAAAAAGGAAGAATTACTCAGAGTATTGCATATAGAAGACAATCTTTTGCTTTCTTGGTCAGCAAGACAACTAAAAATTTATCAACTTTCTTGGTGTGGAAGACAAACGATACTATTTATGCAAACAAAACTGAATTTTAGTGAAAATTTACAAGAGAAGCAGATTAACAGAAGCACTTAAATATAGCTCAAGTTTTTAACTTGTTGAAGATCATCCTACTCTTATCTCACGTTTGTTGCACATTATAAGTGTTATAACATGTGAAGCCATATAGAAGCAACCTAGTAGTATTAGAGTACTGACATGCCTTCTTTATCATTTTTCCATTTCAATGTCAGTATCTCGAGTCCCATACCATGCTTATAGCTTGAGAGGGCTTAATTAACAACCTACTGCTTGTGCCATCCCATTTCTAGTTCTTCCGAAAATGTTTCTTCTTCACTCCTAACAATCTAATCACTGAGCTAACTAAATCCAACCGACTCATTTTTTAGATTCAATAACAGTAAAGGCAATAGCATTCTTATTCAAACTGTTGAGAAACACATATTGGGATTGAGGATAGAAAGTTGTAACAATTTCTAGGTACGAATCTGATGCACTTATCACTCAACAGAAAGCTTGAAATAAAAAAGTACTCAAATCCCCACATCCCAATAGTTCTTATTCTTATATCAGTCTACATGTGCAGCCATATAGAAGCAGACATTGACATGAAACTCAAATTAGATATACCTTTATATATAACAATTAGATATACCCTTTTCATTTCAAGTTCAATAGCTCTATTCCAATGGTAAAAATTACCCGATTGCAGAGATCGGAGATAAGCCAATGTTGTGCGTCTGTGCGGTGGCGTGTGACGTCGAGAATTCGACTGATGGAGTCGCGGAGACCAGAGGAGGTCGCGAGGGCAGTCACCAGATGCCCAGCCCTAAAAATTACTGACGAGAGAGAGGGACAAAGAGAGATGGAGAGAGAGGGAGCAAGAGAGCTTCAGGCTTCTGCCACTCAAGATTGCGAACAATGAGAACGGCGAGAAAAAAAAAAGGCTTTTTATCACAAAACATACGTTTACGAAACTATCAGATTGCATCCTTAAAATTTTTTTGTATCACTTATGGTCCCTAACGTTAATATGGGTGCTCTTAAATGGTCCCTCCGTCAAAAAAATTGTTAAATCTCCAATTTTATGAGGGGTATAATCGTCAGATCAACTCACTTTTACTTTGACCCAAAAAAAAACTCACTTTTACCTCTCACAATTCAAATATATTTCCTCTAGGTCGTCGTCAACATCATCAGACCCATTTCTATGCTTTTTCTTTGAAATAAGGTTTTTCAGTCGTGGGAAATTGGGCGGTAAAGCTCATCTGCAAAAGTGATTGAGAGAAGATGGATGAGGCAAATGAAAACTATCGAAAAGGGGGAAAGGCTCCAACGTATAAAGGTAAGAATCTTTTGAAGAGTGAAAAAGCAAAGTGTTCATATTTGACTATTTGCTTCTGATGAGAATTTTTATGCTTTAACCTGTGGCTTTATGCTTTGGGTGTGGTCCATATTTGACTAGTTTGTGTCATATTCAAACATGGGGGTTTGTTTATTGTTTTGTTGCTTTGGGTCTTTGGCTGTTGTCAGTGTGTGGTTTTGGTTTGTCATATATATTTTTTTTTTTTTGAAAAAAATCCAACCTTTGATATTGGGATGCACTTTGCCAACAAAACAGTATTTAAAGAGGCTGTGCAACACTATACTTGCATGGTAGGGAAGAACATATGGTTTAAAAAGGATGACAAACAAAGAGTAAGGGCTGCATGTGAGGTGGGCTGCCCTTTTGTGATATTTGCTTCGAGAATTGATGACTCACCAACAATGGTCATCAAAACCTTGAATTTGGAGCACGAGTGTTCAAGGGATCAGAGAAATTATTGGCTGAATTCTACTTTTTTTGCTCAAAGGTATGCAAATGAGTTAAGGGCTGATCCGGATTGGTCAGTTCCTGGATTTACAGCTGCAATTCAGAGAGATTTTGGCTTGGAGCCGAGTATGCAACAAATATATAGAGCTAAGCTGAAGGCAACGAAGTTAAACAAAGGTAGTTTTGTTGAGCAATTCCACAAGCTGCACGATTACTGTGAGGAATTGAAGAGGGCAAATCCAAGAAGCACAGTTTTGCTTAAAACTGAGTTGGATGGTGATCAAAGAAGGTTTCATAGGCTGTATATTTGTTTGGAAGCATGCAAGACTGGATTTTTGCAAGGTTGTAGGCCTGTAATTGGTATGGATGGGTGTTTCATTAAGGGACCACATCCTGGTCAGTTATTGGCAGCAGTAGGGATTGATGGGAACAATGGAATGTTCCCGCTAGCTTATGCTGTTGTAGAGATAGAGAATAAAGAGACATGGGACTGGTTCATAAGAAATCTGATGGCGGACTTAGCCATTGAAAATGGACATGGTTATGCTTTCATTTCAGATAAACAAAAGGGTTTAGGACTTGCCCTTGGTGATTTACTTCCCAATGCAGAACATAGGCATTGTGTCCGTCATTTTTACAACAATTTCAAGACTTCACATAGTGGCCTGACATTGAAACAACTTATGTGGGATGCAGCTAGGGCAACAACAATCCCTTGGTGGCAATGCCATATGGAGAGGATGAAGCAAGAGAGTGAAGTTGCTTGGAAGTGGTTGCACCCAAAATCTGCAGTTCATTGGAGTAGATCACACTTTAGAACCCAGTATAAGTGTGATATTTTGCTGAATAATCTTTGTGAGGCTTTCAATTCTTCAATATTAAAGGCAAGGGACAAGCCAATTCTTTCAATGCTTGAGGGTATAAGGACAAATCTCATGGTGAGGATGGCAAACAGGAGGGTTGCAGCTTGGAAGTGGAAAAGGCATGTTGGTCCAAGGATTGAACAAATTATGGAGAAGAACAAGCTGGAGGCTGGTTATTGTATTCCTACTTTGTCTGGGGATATGAAGTATCAAGTCACAAATATGCATGGGGGGCAATTTGCAGTGGATCTTGCAATAAAAACATGCTCATGTAGGAGATGGGATCTTTGTGGGCTCCCATGTCCACATGCAATCAGTTGCATTCTTAGAAGGAAGCATGACCCTTACTCATATGTAGATGAGTGCTACAAAAGGGAAGCTTATCTTAAGTGCTATAACCCTATTATTTCTCCAGTGCCTAGCATGGATCAGTGGCTAAGCACTGGTCCTCACCCATTGTTGCCTCCTCTATTTAAGAAGCAAACTGGGAGGCCAAGAAAGAAAAGGGCTAGGGAGCAGGGTGATCCACCAGCTGCAACCAAAGGAAACAAACTATCTAAGTGGGTTCATGACAAATTTAGTTGCAGCAAATGTGGCCAAGCTGGCCATAATAAGAAAACATGTGGCAAATCAACAAGTCAACAGGTATATTATATTCTTACTTCAAGGAATTATATTATTCATTTGCTTATTGATTAATTACTAAAATTCTTCATATGCTTTGCAGCCTCCAAGTGCCCAAGTGGTCCCTAAACCTAGACAAAGGAAACCAAAACTTAAGGTTTTACAAAATCGTTGTATTGTGATTAAAATAGTTCTAATTATTGTATTATAGTTTGACTTTAATTGTTGTCTAGGTGGCAAGAGGAGGGAGGAAAATACAGCAATCAAGGTCAAACTCTAATGCTCCAACGGGAACAAGTATTTCACAACCTTCTCTAGCAGTTGTCAGGTTTTCACAACCCTCTCCAGCACCTCAAGTGGCATCACAACCTCCTACTGCACACAATTCTTCATCCCAGCAAGCCTCAACATCACAAACTGTCCAAAGAAGGAAATTAAAGTCTCCAGCAAAGAAAGGAAGGCCATGGAGAGTTTGAGATGATGTTTTATGGAACTGTAATTGGAAGTGGTCTAAGGTTTTTGATGTATGATATTGTTTTTTGATGGAAGCTTTCTAGGGGTTAAAGTGATGGAACTGAAAGTGGTTTTTGATGGAAGTGGTCTAGGATTTTTGTATGTATGGAAGTGAAATCCTACTTTCTGACCCAAAAAAAAAGGAAGTGATTTTTTATGGAAGTCATGTAGGGGTTAATGTGATGGAACTGAATGTGGTTGATGATGTAATTGAAAGTAGTTTTTTATGTATGGAAGTGGTTTTTGATGTATGCAGTTGGTTCAATTTGTTCATAGTGGTTGGTAGTTTAGTTTATTCAATTTGTTCAACGTGAGTTGTTTATAGTCCAATTTGTTTTTGTTATTCCCTTTCATTTTTAGCGCTTTTAGCATGTGAAAATGAACAGCAGCTTTAGTTGCCCGCCAATTCCAATAAGAAATGGAGGGAAATGGTTCCAAATTGGTGGCAAATAGGTCTAAGGCATTGAAGAGGTCAAAGGGATTGATTTGACGATTATATCCCTCATAAAATAGGGATTTAACAGATTTTTTGACGGAGGGACTATTTAAGAGCACCCATATTAACGTTAGGGACCATTTGTGATACAAAAAAACCTTAAGGATGCAATCTGATAGTTTCGCAAACGTCAGGGACGTTTTGTGATAAAAAGCCAAAAAAAAATTTTGTTTCTCCGAAATGACTATAATGCCCTTAACTATTTAGGTCTGGTCGACCAGAGTGGTCAAGTATTAGATCGATCTAATCCTGAAAGAAAGCAACAAACGAAGAAGAAGAAGAGTGAAGTATAGAGGAAGAGAAAAATGGGGAAAGCATCGACATCGTCAACGACCAAGGACGCGCTTGCCCTCTTCAATTCTCTTCGCTCAGCTTACTCTGCAACTCCCACCACTCTCAAGGTCTCTCTCTTCTCTCTCTTTCTCTCTCTAAGAATTCACAAAATAAAGAGAAGAAATGCTTAACCCAATTTGTCTTTTCTTTTATAAATTTGCAGATCATTGATCTCTATGTTGGTTTTGCTGTGTTCACAGCTCTCATCCAGGTACTCCATGATCTCAATTTTCCTGTCTCCGTTTTAATATATATATATATATATACTAATTTGCTATATTCGGGTGCCCAGAAACTTTGGGTAATTGTCAAAGGTGCAGAATTGAAATGCCCCATTTTGATTTAATCTTAAGCAAATGGATCTTTATTTTATCTCCTCTTGGTTTGATCTGAAATCACGTAAGTTGATAGTCTCTCGGTTGACAGACAAAAAGATTTTCATTTAAACAGAATAAAATGGCTTTTGTTTTAATATTTACTTTGGTAATTGTGGTTTAAAAAGAAAAAGTAAAAAACAAAACCAAAGGAGGAGAAGGGAAAGCATCTTGGAGTCTTGGATAGGCTTGCAATTTGACCGCAATTTGACCTGCCTTTCCATTTCAACCCCTTATTATTTAGTTAGATCAATATGAATAGCTAGGATCAGTAAAATCTTATCTTTTGTTAAAATATAAATGTAGAGTTATGTGGTTTGTTATCGAGCGTCAGTCTTTTCTACCATTAGTTTGTATACCTTCCAGTTTGATTGTGTACATAGTTTTGCATTCCACATGGCACCATTGTGCATGCATCTGTTTGGTAAATGTTGTTAACAGAATTGCCTTTGAGAGGTTTCTGAAACTCTTAATACATGGTTTATGGAATCTGCATTTACTCAACAAAGTGCCTTTAAGAGGTTTCTGAAGCTCCATTTGGTTTAGTATAACAACGGATTTGAAGAATCTAATAGGGAGAAATATTAATAATTAGGTGTTTAAAGGCTTGATGTTCTAGTGTTGGTGTCTACACTTGTCTGACACACACACGGACACCTTGGAGTGTCCATTCTTCATGGGTTAAGGTATATAAGACTCCTTGTTGGGGTACATATCGTGGATCAATGCCTTTACCCTCTCTTTCTGTAATTACATGTCTGGTCGGTCTGGCTACCATGTTTTGTCATTGTTGATCACCATGTCTACTCTTTTTTCCACTCCCACTGCGGCATAATCTTCTACCTATTTCTAATGGTGCCATGATGCATTAACTACTACAATAACAACCCATGAATGGTGGAAGCTAGCTTTCTTGCAACTT